ACAATTGAAGCTGGTACACTACTACCTTGTTGATGTCGTATTTGTGCAGTGCGATCAAGTCATGAAGGAAAATTACGGCAGCTTGCTAGAAGTGACACGCTGTCTGGATATAATCATCACCAATTTGTGTAAAGTCTAGCGAATGTAATGACTGTCAGCGAGACACCTTCCGGATCCAGTCACTGCCTTTAGCTTGAGCAGTGTTGATTGTACCAGTAGCAATCTTCCATTAATGTCTAACCTTTTTTTGCCGTCCAGTGGGTTTCTGATTGCCTGTACCAGATAATTGTTCACTGCACTCTATTAATCCGGTCTCATTGAAATGCATTTGGTAGTAAGAATTCATGCCCCACTTAACAGTCACTGAAACTTCTTGAAGGATATTTAATTCGAGATTCTTGCTTAATACATACAGCCTTCACTGAATGTATGAATACAAACGCACTTTTCCGCTTTCGAGGTGTCGCAATTTTTTGTATCGCTTCTGTTGGATAGAAAGATTGCTTTAGAGACGATTGCTCATTCTTTGTTTGCTGACGTCTGTCCTGGTTAGTATTAGTTTCTTTCAAATTAGGAGACATCGTATTTTCAAGTTCCATCCTCTTACACATTTGGTTGGATAATAGAAGTGGCTCCTTTTTTACAGACACGGCTAGCATCGTAGGTGATAAGGATCAAGTTTCATTCCCTTGGTTCGAAGACTGAATCTCAGGGGGCTGGAAAGACCTATCTTTTACACGTTCTCGGTATTTCCCGTGACTACTCTTCTGCACTAGTTATCACGGGTGATTTTGCAGTGGTTCAAATTAGATGAATAACTGAAAAAAATATCGCGTATAATTACTTTCATGCTTGAATGTATATGTACGTTTTGTCTATTCCGATGCATTCCATTGTCGCGTTCTTATTAAGTACTTCCCTCGCTACACATTGTCTAAGACTGAACGATATTCTGCGCTGAGTATATTTCGTGTGTTACTCTCATTTGGGGCAGTCAAGGTCAATAGGCAGGAAAATATTACTTTTTCAAGCTGTGATATTTAGCAAAATCACACACTGTATGTCTAGTGTTTGATTTTTACCTATTTCAAGATTGCAACGTACGTCGGGAGTTTATCTACCAGTTCTGGAGTTAGCGATTTTCTGGCAGACTACTCTTTTGAAGAACCACTACCGGAAGGCGAAGCAGAGAGTAGTCATACAAGTTCTCAATCCACAAAACCATCGACGTCACTATTGGATCGCATCTATTGCAACGTTCAGCAGGTTAGTGGTTTTATCGCCAACTAGCAGTCCCCTTTGACTAACTGCATTCATACTCACTGGGTAAAAAGGTCCTCTCGTCGATGTGCATATTCCATCTATTACGCCCATGCCTGCCATTCTTTCGCCCTTTTAATTTTAGTTGCAATTTCATATGGTTTACCCACCTATCAACGTTCGTTTCGCTTTTCTCCATGATTTAGCCTTCTTCGGAGCAGACTTCCAAGCGTCCAACTTCGGATATGTCCTCCTCAAAAGGCCCTAATAGCAATGATGATGAAGCTTTTGCAGCACGCCTGCTAAAACGCCACCAAACGGCAAAACGCATTAAATTGGTGAAGCAGCACCTCAACCCCGAGACGGGTGATAGTGTTACTACTCCCGACTACTTGACCGCCGTTCGTACACTCTTCAGCCGTGCCTCCATGGGCAAGGAGAACCACTGCTTTGAGGAATTTAAGGTGATATTTTTACTTACTGTAAATCAGTAAATAGTTTTCCTTTTCACCAACATAACTCCGATTTATAAAAAGGGTGCCCTATCGAACTACAAGGCGAATGGAACGGAGGCTGGATCGTCGTCTGTCGAAAGGGTTTTCGCTGCTCTTGCGAGTCTTTTCATACCGCTTGATGCACCTGGCCTACTTAGGGGTAAGGCTTTACACTGCTTCACAGATTTCAGTCTATTACATTAACTTAGCAAAACGCCCAAGGACAAGGTACAATTAGGCTGTTACATTAGAACGGTGGGGCTTTTGTGCCAACGGGTTGGAATAAAAGCTGGAAGTTTTTTTGTTTAAAAAAGCACATTGCTGGATTTGAAGTGAATAATGAAGATTAGTGTCAGTATCTTTAAGTTGTTATCGCGCACGTTTGTCTCTGTTTCTTTTCCGCGGTAACTTCAGCGGCTTTGGGTTGTAACTTCAAGGGGAAATCTTTTGTTGAGACATTTTGCGAATACCAAAACTTTACCACGAAAAGTTTTTGAAATTCACGAGGGTAGTATTTCATTCCTAGGCTAAAACACTCAAAATGATAATTTGGTTCATTTCTTATCGCTTTCATTACCGGGTTGGCAGAGGAAGATCGGTCACCGAAGCTTGATGATGTATTCTATTTGAAAGTAGGCTACTTTGAAGTTGAGCACAAATTTAATTATTGTTTAAATCGGAAACATCGCGCCTTTTTGTACTGTTCTGAAATAAGTCAATCTTTTTGAGGTAAATGAAAGTAAAGCTACTTTTTTTTAAAAAAAATTGTTCATAAGGTAAAAGAACTGTCAAAAAGCGGCATAATGCATTATCTTCACTACATTCCTTAATTAACCACGACATCTACTCACTGTGCGAATTTTTTCCTGTCATGTAAATATCATCCCAATTCTCCGTTGTCTTCTTACACCTCCAAGCCAGATTCCACCTAACGTTGAAAAGGGTTTTATAAAAATTCTAAGGCGTTATTTTGGCTGATTTCGACAAAAAATTTACCAAGGTTGCATTTTTGTCTGTTATCTTTCAGATTCTTCTACCGAGTATCGGACGGACAGTTTTTCTTTGAGTGTCCAATACTTTTTTAATGCTAAATCCGAACCCAGTTCTTCGCTTATTGCTCAAAACTTATTTCTGAATCATAGGATCCTCGTTTAATCATTTTTGTGATTCCAAAATAAGGGCAGCAGCTTGATAAATTGCTGTCAATTCCATTAATAGATTTAGAGACACCATTGTTCCTTTCATTTGCAGATTTTATTGTTTTTGTGAGGGACAGTGACAAACCTAAGTATGCCGAACTCTGCAAAGGTCTTACCGGCCTGTCAGTGACGTCTGGTGAGAACACTGCTGCGTCCTCATCTGATGCCGCCTCTACATCGGCTTTTACGGCCACAAAAGAAGGTAAATTTTATGTCTTCCTGGAAGTGTAGTCCATTTTCTGCGCTTAAACAGGCGTCCTTTGGATAGTTGGTGGTAATTTGTGGTTTAAGCACGTTATTAGACGGCAGTTGCTTTTTCAAGCAAGTATTTGAGCAGAAGTACGTTTGACTAACCTGGGAATCCAATTGTATCTCATATAGTTATGGTTAGAAAAGTATGAAAACGATCGTATTGGTGCTGTGGATACAGTAGGGCGCTGTGGATATTCACCTGCAGTTACGAATGGACGGTTTGGGAATTCAAAAACTGAGACAACAACTCTAGAATGACTGTTGTAAGGGTTATAATAGAATCCATGGAAAATTGTCACTGAAAACGGAATCTGGGAGTTCTAGCGTATGCAATTGAATTATTAATTATTCCGTAGGAAAGACGTTCAAAGTGTAATCATCGGCTTTGACTTTTTACAATTCTCGAAATTTCTAGTTTAATGAGCTGCGATTTGCTTACAATTCGGCCCAATGGGACATACGATCGGTTAAAAGGAGGCCTTAGCATAAACGCCACTTAATTTTTACCCTTTTGAATAGCTCTAAGAACTCTACACGCGAAAAAGTCATCACGCGGTGATGATATGAAAGCAGTTGCATAAATAAATTACAGCCCAGGGGGATGTGGCGGTGTAGGAGAGTAATGTAATTCGCTCCTGAATAAAACATGATTAGTCCACATGGCGACATTCGCAAGACTGAATTATAACTTCGTGTAGTTAGTACTCTGGTGAACTTTCTTATTAAACTCGTAATTTAGAAGGATGCATAAATAACGGTCGTGACTTCTTCTGTACTGCAAAAAAGACATTTAATGGAGCAGCGTTCTTTTTTTACCAGATTGAAAGTAGGTCGCAGTTAACTTAGTCAAGACACTTTGTTGGACAACCAGATTGTAGATCGGCTAGATGATTCAAGTTATTTTTTTCGCGAAATTTCAAGAGCCTATTAATTCTGAAGTAGGAAATAAAGGGGCACAAAATGGACACTTTTTTGTTTGACCACGTTGACACGACAAGTGTGCAATCCTCACGTCGACTCTACAAGCTGGCTGCCGTTCCATTGCAGTCTAAAAAACAGACGCTCGTTCGTGTAATATGTGGCTTGAGTTTGCATCCTTTTGAAGGATTGAACGGTTATGAGGTGGTTGTACCGATGTGATGGATACAGGAAGGTCTTGTCACGACTGTGAGAAATGAGGACAGAACCTTGCAACCGCTTCGGAAAAGCAGTGACTACAGTTTCGGCGATTACGAACGCAAGTGCTGGTTCCATCTCTGTGTCCCGATCTTCACCAATCCTGAGATCAGTCAAGTATGCAGCGAACAAATGCCTAAGATCTTCCACTTGGGTCGTTATTGTTTTTGCGGCTAACAACACGTCAGTAGTACTGACATGGGAAGGTGGAAAATCCCATCTAGGAAGTATTCATCACCTCCTGTAGCAAAGAAATTCAATACGCAGTCATTGGTGATGTTAATTTTCTTCCGTGGCCTCTAACAGTTCATTTTCAAATCTTAAATGTTCACTTTGTTGGGATTTTTCTCAGGTAAACGTGGGACCTTAAATCTCATTTAAGAAGAAGGGTAGGCTTTCAAACGCAATCTTATTTTGGCAGTTCTCAGATAAATCACACACATTTTTTTACCTTTTTAAATCAGTCCAAGTGGCTGTAAGGCGATGCGAATGCAGCTATGCATCATTAGCTGCGCCTTCAGTGAAAAAATAAACATTCTTTTGTTGACTGCATTAAAGGTTGGTACAGTATTGAGAAAAAAGGGTTACATTGCAGAGGAATGTGGGAATGTAAAAGGGGGATGCAGTTCATTTTGAAATGAAACAAAGTTGAGATAAACGAAAATCTTTTCTATTGTCCCTCTTTTACTACTTTTGGCGCTCTGTCTCAAGGGTGAATCGACCGCCACAGCCACTCAGATGTTTTACCGCTTTGATATAGCACCAAATGCCGTTAAGTTTTTTTTTTTGAATTTATAATTTCATGGGCAAACAGTGTAGCTTTACCCGAATCTTGTTTTTGACAATTTTATGAAACTACTTACCATAAACTGATGAGGAGGATTTATTGTCACATATTTGTGGGTTGTGGGGTCAAATAGGAAAATCCAGGTGTCAAACGTATGTGACGCTAGGGGGTGAAAGTGTTGAGGGAAACCATGTTTTCCGGTATTCCCAACTGTTTTAATCGGACGCTGAAATAATCACTTTTTTGCATTAGACAAAAAATACGAGGCGTTGTGAGTAATTCACATTTAAAGTAATTTTCATACAAATGATGATCAATCTTGATGTAACCCTCTCCTAGTCATGCCATTGCTAAGTCCTCCTGGGCTCTGGAACACTTTGTTTAGAAAGCTAATGTGAGTTTCAGTATGGTTCTCTTCAACGGCCTATTGTTACTCGGAGCTTGCAGAACGTTTGAAGTTATTTACATGGATGCACTGTAACGTGTAGATGTTTATCGGCTTATCAGCATGATACTCCTCATTATGTTCTACTGTCCTTTCATTTTGGCTCCTCATGATTGGAAAATGTTTTTTGAATTCAAAGTGATCCGACCATTTTTGCTTTGCGAACCGACTTAAAAAGAGTTTTAAAGCTGCAGCTTTAAAAGTGTCTTGCGTAGCTTTTTGTGCGGCATTTGAAAGTGTAGCGGCAGGACTCGCTTTCCACCAATGATCTCAATAACTTGATCTTGATGATGAATCACGCAAAGATAGGCGCATCGCGCTCGGAAAGATTCTCTCTTCCCAGTCATAGTTTTAATTAAATATATCGCATTGCCTTTGAAAATGAAGTCCCATGTTAGGAGATCATATGTTCTAAGTTTGAGTTTGGCAATGGGTGGTGAAAATAATTCGTTCAAAAGTTGTGTTTGAACTGCTGAGTAAATGTATTCTGCCCCTGTTTTAACAGGTGAGAGTAGGCTTTGGGCTGTCAATTTAATATTCCCTTCTCTTAGATCGTTCTCTAACTGACTTGTGAGGTGAAATGACCTTTATTCATTCCATCGTTCGCTAACCTGCCCACAAAGCATCCATCCACTGATCATTCCACGAAAGGGTGTGCGTGCCTGCACGTGGTGCTCTATGGATGGGCATGTTCACTAGGAATTGTTCCATTTCAAAGGACCACACAATAAATGTCAATTGGAACCTCTCCTATCTAGCCTTTGTGATTGATTATAAGTTAAACGTGCGCATGGGAACTACCTCTTCAGGCAAGATCTCCAGCCAGTAGATCTTCCCTCATCATAATCTAAAAACTGGACTTACTCTGGATGGGAAGGAGGGAGGATAATGTTTAATTCTTGTCCTTTAGCTCGACCTTCACTTTGTGCTTCCCAAAAGACATTCCTCCAGATAATTAGTATCACCTTGATACTGGAAGTTCACATGCAAGGTAGGATGGACAGTTGGTAAACAGAAAAGAGAGAGAAATGAAGTTGGCTTGGTCTGTTTTTTCTTCGTGTTTTCTAGGCACAGAACGTGTGAGGACAGATGGTAGGTTGTAGTGTTGATCGCTTCATCAAATAAAGTAGTACGGAATGGTTGATTGTACTGACGATTGTTTTAACGGATAATACATTTCCCAAAACTTCCTTCAGCTATCATTACTTTTAACTGTAAAAATTGGCACGAGCTCATTTGATTACATCAGCAGAATGCGATTCTTCATGACACCTTATTATGTCTCTCGAATCTTCCCAGTTCTAAGCATAAATTTCTTAAAATTGTTTGTGAGATTTTTTCATTAATGAACTACATTCTGTTTTTTTATTTGGCTTTGAAAGGCTGCCAAAGTACAACGGGTAGTAATTCGCCCATCTATGTTGTTCTTAAATCAACCTTGTGAAATTGAATGCAATTTTGGAGTTGTCGGGTTTAGTCATAATCCTTGCCTTACCATTTTGGGCTATGGAAATTCTAAAATGAGAAGTAAAAAAGATTGGAATATTAGATTCTTCTATTTTTCGTAAGTTACGGTACCAAATTGACAGCAAAGATATAGCCGTGAGGTCGATTTGCCATTTTGCCTATCAATCAGTCACAAGGTAAGCCAACTGCAGTGGTCGCTCTAACCTAGTCAGTGATGGTAGCTGAGAGGATTACAAAGTTCTTGTGCCGCGAGTCAGACATCTTTTCTACAGATCAGAAACTCGTAAAACGTGGAGTAAGTCCCCTGTATTCACGCTTCAAAGTAGTAAGGAGAACAGGGTGGATGAAATATGTGGGTGTGGTGAATATTGTTTTTCTACAATAACCCATCTGATGATTTCAGGTTTGTGAATATTGTGTTGTGTTTCAGTGGATTGTACAAAAATCCGACAGGATTGTTAAGTGTATGGATCATAGCACTCATCTTTTCACTTACAGTGGTATTCCCCATGGTTTTTTGCAATTTCTGGCGGGACGTGTCGTTGTTTTTGGGCCTTGTTATTATGCGATGTTCAATGGCGAGACATCATTAAGTAAGTCTAAAAGCTAGGGGAAACTTAAGAAAGTTATCTTGAAAAGACTGTTTTTCGCTATGTCGTTTCAGGATTAGTGATTTATCTTCTTCCACCACGTGGTCTTAGCACGTTCACCACCAGCTCCGCATATTTGCGACGCCCCGACTTATCCGGTCACGGTATCATATGTGTACTTTACCAGGCCATAACGACTGATCTCACCGAATTACGTGTTAAAAGCAGATTGTCTGAGTTTAAAGCGATAAAATAGGTGTAGGATGTTATTTGCCCGAAGATAACGATATCTTTTAGTTCTTAAGCAGCAGTTAAAGTGGTCGGAAAGTGACAGTAATTGGTGAACATATTAGAACTGAAAGGGGTTGTTGTGTGTTTATCAACTTTCCTCTGAGATCGGCTTTGGTAATGAACGATCAATTGCCGGGATTTTTAGATCAAATGGGGTTTTTTGAATAGTGTGTGTAAGTTTCCTTACAAACCTGTAATGACTACCCTCTATTGCTCACTTGTGATTACTACCCGCCTCTCACATCACCTTCCTTGATTAATCCCAATAAAACTAGAAGAGATTAAATGAGAATTTGTACAAGATCGTGTCTCCTTTACTCAGTCCACAAGTATTTCATTATTCCGCCATAGCAAACACTGTCTGGACGGGACAAAATCACAACACCTCATTGGCATCTTATTTTTCTCCACTGACAAACTGCTGCTTATCGTGAATCAGTGAACATCTCGAACATTACTGCTACATACTTACAGTATACGCTTTTATAAAAGTGAGGGCTGCAGCTTTCGTAATCATAGTTCGAAGTGGAATCCAAAAGTCTAAGTCGTGCCAATTTGAATACTTGATGACCCTTAATATCCCATGAATAGTTGCTTGATTTTTTTTGGAGCAAAACATTTCTCGAAAGTCATTATTAAAAAATAGGGATTCTGAATCCGGATAGACTCACAATGTGGTTTTTATCTCTGATATTTCCTTATTTTGGGCTAAAAATTCAACTAGGTCGGACCCTTTCACATGTTAATGGCCAACTTTTTGAACAGTAAGTATGTTACACGTTGTTATTTTCCTCTCATTACGTATGCCTGAAGACTTTTGATGTACGTAATGAAAGAAGATTGTTAAAGTTGGATTTGGAAGATTATAGACTCTTGGAGTTACTAATTACCACGTCCACCGCCGTGCTTCTGGGAAGGAGGGGGAGGTTTCGACCAGTATAACCGCAAATGACTTCATCAAAAGCTGCGATGCTTAAAAACTAAAAGGTGTAGTTATCTCCAGGCCCTTCATTCTTTTAAACTCAGCCAATCTAGTCACAACGAGACATGGCGTAGCCATTTGTCGTAAACTGGCAGACAACACTTGGGGGTCTGGTGGTGGATGTATTAAATAATGGGATATTTAATGCTCCCAAAGGGTAAAATGTCGTTTTTTAACCAAAAACTCAGTTTTTACTATCTCAAATTGTGGTTCCATCAGAATATCTACAAATATTCCACATTTCTTACATTACTTATAGAAAAGGGTTGGGAAGTGGAGCACTCTCTACGGTTGGGCGAAGATTGCGAATCCAGTACTTGAGGTGTGAATTCATAGTCACCTTTTCTTACTTGTAGCATCACCGCCCGTGTCGTGCGTTCGTTGCAAGAAGTCACCCATCACTGATGCTCTTCGTGCTCCCTGTGGTCATATCTGCTGCTTCAGCTGTTGGCGCATCATCATTGAAGAGGTGACATTTTTATTTTTTCCTCTTGTTTAAATCACCTTAATCCGTTTTTTGTTAAAATTTTTCTTTTTTATGTGAAAAAAATCTGCGAATTAGAGAATACTCGGTGTCTGTGATTTGGCGTCTGTTTGTCTCTGTGCCTTAAGCAACGATTATCAACACCTAATCTTTCGGTCTTAAAGGTAATCAGTAGTAAGGACAGGTTGGACTTGCGTTGGACTATTAAACAGATATTATTAGCCAGTCAGTTTTTGAGCTGATTAGACAGTTCTTCATAGTAAGGTAGCCAATCGGGTATTTACGACTTTTTCTGGAATGTAAGATGTAATGAGCTGCTGCGTTGATTTCTTTTCATTTGGTTAGTGAAGATAAAAGATGTCATTGTCAACTTTATCCAACACTCGTAGATATAAATTACTCAATCTTTTGCCCCGGAGAAACATACTTGATATTTTTTGCCTTTTTTGCAATGGGGAGATCGTCGCCCTGTCAACTGATAATGAACCACTAAACGCTCTGCATCAACTACTTGGTATGTTGTAAAGTGGACAAGGGGATGGACAATATTTGTACTGTACCGGTAAATAAATTCCATCGGTTAATCATTCTTGATATTTTTTAGCTCTCGTGTGATTCAGCTTTGCATATACGGGATTTTTTATCGTTTTTATTTAATATTTTAAGTCGCTCTTTAACACCAACAAAGATATGACCTTCTTGACCCAGATCGATAACGACAAATAGCTGAGGCCGAAATTTCTTGTTTTATTTGGACAAATTACTAACTTGTTAGCATAAACAATATTTGCCACTTTAAAGAGTTGTACACCACGAAGTCGAAGGTGTTGGCGGAAATAAGTACAGTCGCCCGGGCAGTTCAAGGAGCTGGTCCGAAGGTTTATAGTTCCCCGTGGGGAAAGGATATCCTTTCAAATTCTCCTCCACTTTACCACTTCCCTAACTCTGTAACGCAGTATTTTTTATTGTTCCACACCTTAGGACCATTTATTACCGTGATTGAATAATTTAGTGTAGAGTCAATGCACAGTTTTTTGTTGAGAAAAAAGGCAAAAGAAACGGAGGTTGCTTTTTTTGGGACGTTATGGAACTTTGTTGTAATTCATTTAAAACTCAGGGGTCCGTTCAGCGTTGAACCTAACTCATCTTCTGTATTTCGAATTTCAGGGGAACAGGAGGTGTCCTGTCTGTTCAGCTTTTGTTCGTCGGCGAGATCTTGTCAGACTGGCACGCAGAAAACTCAGATTGACGCAATAATCCCTTATTTGTATGCTTACTCCAAAAGATTGTGTATTTTTTTGATAAATTCGCTTCTTCTTCCTTCTTTAGCAAGGTGAATTTAAAGGCTAACCGAGGCTGCAAATTGGTCACCTGGTGGTAGGGCTATTGTTTACGGTTAATCGGTGGGAATTTTGGTGTCTCAATAGTTTGTCTGGCAGTTATGCCCTAGAACCGATGGGTTCGTTTGTGATTTCAACTTAGAATGTCTACAACTCAGCTTGAAATGTAGGTGGATGATTAACTTGCCATTTTGGAGTTCAGCAGGAGAGTTTTTGAATCCTAGTTTAAAAATAGATTGGATTTGAGACACGCAAAGGTAACGGGAAATAGGTGGTTATCACGAAAATTTAATGCTACTTGTATTTCAGGTCTCAAAGTTGGCAATTCTCGAAGGCAGGCAAAGAGTCTGCTTTCTCACCTGATGGTCAGTTTTCCGTGCTGTTATTACTTTACTAATTTTGCAATAGCTCCTTCATATGTATTTCTCGATCTTGATTCCGAAGTTTCCGCAATCCTCAGAGTGCCCCAGTAATTATGTCCGATTTTGAAATCCATCGTAGCTGCATCATGCGAGTCTCACTGCTCAGATTGGATTTTTTTGCCAAATTATAAATTTTACACGGTCGGCATAGTTAACTTGGCTTACATCTTTTGTGGCCGTTTAGACGAATGCCAAATCATTGAGGCGTTTTAAACCCGCCCATGTAATTAGTCCTTTGCTATGTATGAATGGACCTTAAAAGGTATTCCCCACTGGTTTTATACAACTCTGCGGAAATGTTCAAATTGGTATTTATTGGCTCCTGGGTTTGGTGTTGCATGTGGGGAGCTAGAGCTACCCCTCACGTCGCCGTAAAGGAGGTGCTTTGCCATAACCACACAGAAGGGCAGGGAAACCAGTGCTGGGGATGACTTGAGCAAGAATAAAAGTCACTGACATAGGGCCTGATTTACGATAGAAAGACGTATGATATTTACATGAAGCCCTTGAATTATGAGTGCGGTGGGATTAAATGGTGATTTTTAGTATTTTAGATTGAAATAGTTATCTAAACAGCATTAGAATGAAAAAAATTGCGAGATAGCGTTAGCCCACGGTATTAGTACGTAACTCTGCCTTACATTATACACTGCTCTGAAAGGTTTTAAATTTAGGCGAATGCTCCTACAAATGGCGAGCCAACGGTCGGCCCTGAGAAATACCAAACAAATGAATTCCTAAAGGTTGATTTACCACGAATTGGTTGATCCACCTCTGAAGTCTTGCTTGATATTTGTAGAACCTTCCATTCTCTTATGATGATCGGTGCGGGAGAGAGACCACGGGAAGTGCGGATGATGAAGCTCCAAAGAAAAGGGAGTCATCACACAAAATTTCCTTTTCTTCCATTGGGTAAATTTGAACTCTAGAAGGATTAAGGACCTTATCATTCACTTGGAAGTCACTCAATACGGCGGTGAATCCATATCAAGTAAGCTCGGATGCAGGTTTGAGTATTTCTGGTTTGATTTTACGTTAATTAGGCTATAGGCTTATTTACTAGTAGAAATTTTAGACAGAAAATAAGTTTTTACAGGCCGACGGGTAATGTAGTATTTGAATCCATTCTGAACAGTTCCGCTAACTAATTTGATGCAACTATAAGGCCAAAGCACAAAGATAGCGATTGCGAACACGGAGTTTGAGGAGATCGCGTAGACAAATGTGTTGTTTAGATAGAAGGACATTTTCTGTGGATCAGGGGGATGTTAAACCGGGGAGCTGGGACTGCTTGCAGCCATGAAAAATACTTTCCTGTTTGATCTTTTGGAAGTACCGGTTGATATCCAATCACCAAAGATTCTAGCGCTGGGCTCATGCTCAGTCCTTCCTGGTGAGCCCATCAAAAACGCATTTTAATAGTACTGGTAGGCACTTTAAAGTTAAAGCCTACCACTCACTGTAAATAGGCCTGATTAAGGTCTCTGGTAGACAGACTCTTATCTGCCAACCGTATCCCATTTGCATGTTCATTACGTCGGTTACTTGAGACATTCTGTCCAAGATCTTTGACTATCGTCTATCCGGTTGGTGGTCTCGATAGGATCCAGGATACCCAAGCACGCAACACCCGATTGTAGCAATTAACAGCCCAATTTGTAAAAGTTTTCGGCGCATGCTATGATGCATGACGATCCCGTTCATTGTATAACATAGGGCCTCATTTCTCTTCCCCTTTTTTTCTTCAAAGATTTCCACATTTGTACCAAGAGGTAATTTCATCCACAATACTAGAAATTGGGGAGTGCATTTGTAATTACATTAACACTCATGAACACGTGGAGAGAGCTTTACGATTCCTTTTAACTTCGCGTAATGGTTGCAATAAATCACCATTCAGTCATTCATCTTTCCCTTCTATGACACAGATGTTGCATCAAAAGCCGTACTCCAGTTCACGAATGACGATTCTTTTTAGAATAGACTTTGCATTGTGCTTATGTGTCGTTCAATTTGAACCGGGACTTGTGATTTTAATACTGTTAAAATGTTACACCGGGTACAAAGTATTTCGGTTTTGGCATAGAACGAGTTGGCGGCGTGGAGATAAATTGTATATCAGTAGGGTACTCCATACATCGGTTTATTTTTCACAATGCAACATGAACATCGAGTTTTGAGAACCGTCACAGACGGGACCGTCATCATGGTATAGACGTACGAAAACCGACTTTACAATGTTCGCTTTATTTTAATGCCTTTCTGACAGGACTGAGAGTTCTATAACCCTATCGAATCGTGCTTCAAGTCTTCCGTTGATATCAGCAGATTTTCGCTCATTCACAAGATATCTCGGTCATCAAAACATGTTCCGTGCGCAAGCAGTCGCTGTTGCCTACCATCCCTGCCACCCGCCATGGTAGCCTCCCCCTTTACCACATTACAGGGAGTTTAGGTCTCGATTTGACATGAAAACCATTTGTTTGGGAGTCACTGTAGATCGCAATCGTGTCTACGTCACTTATTATTATGCATCAAAAATACGTGTTTGTTCTTTTTCAGAGTACTCATTTAGGTATGCCCATCAAGTTGCAAAGGCTAGTAAGTGAGCAGAAGGGGAGTACGTGAATTAATGTTCTATATCCATCTAAGTCCTGCAAAGTGACAAAGAGATAAATTAGATTGTTACATGACCTGACGTTGAACATACCAAATAAAGATTGCCGTATGTCTGTTAGCCCATTGCCTTTTTTGAACAAATCAGATATCATTAATTTTACCTTCAATGGGCGTACAGAAGCACCGTTTGAAAGAATACAAGTGTTCCTTTAGAATATTCGATGATATTTTTGCATGCGCAAAATTAGAGTAACTAGATGGCGACCAACAAAAAATCATTTATCTGCCAGCTACTGCAGTTACTTTTCAGTAGTATTTAAATGAGTGACCTCCTTGGTCAACAAGTCAAGAATACCAGGTAGCTTAGGGTTGAATTGCTGTGCAGTTCAGCTTAAAGATGTCTCAGTTTTATCGTACACGCCGAATATAAACGTTATCCTTAGTTTTAGTTATTTCATTTAGCTTACCCAGGTCGAGTCAGATGGAGTAGTGTTTTATGGTAGGCAGTAATGTTATAACGTTTCCGCAAATCAGGCAGGAAGGTGCTTCAGTCCTACGATAAATTAGGATACGTTGAAGCTGAAATTTGATTTTTATTTTAGTACCACTTTTGTTCACCAGTACGGCTTAAAAATATTTTGCAGAATTAAGTAACGTGTAAGACCCTCCAACTATGCCCCTACCGGTGCAACGTAATTTATCAAGAAACTTACATTTACTTTAAGTTCGCTTCTAACAAAAAATTAACCTTCTTGCGAGGCAAGAAGTTGGATGGATTAAAAAAAGGCACGTAATCAACAGGGGTGCCTTTTTTTAGGAAAAAGAATCAACACAGTCTCGACCACTTTTAAGACATTCATTTGCCTCTTGTTCGAATTTCGAGGAGAATTATTCCACTTGGGTGTCAGGACAAGAATTACACATTCTTACTTTCTAGTCCATTTAGGCATTTTACTTGAAAGCCATATGTCGTATGCTTATTCTTGATGGAGGCTAGGAAGAATTATTAGGGGAATAAGTTTGAATTTAGTAAATATAGGCTTTTGGCCACTTATAGTCCACCCATACATTTCTCCGGTTCTATTCTCAGAATAAGCAACTATTCATGTCAATTGCTTGCGTTTGAGAACGCATCTGCTGCTGCCTTGTAGCTACCTGTGAGGAAAAGTGAAAAGATGGCATTTTAGAGGCTCACGTGCTTTCATATTAGTTAAAAGTGCTTTTCTTCCTACATGAAATATAATTTCAACATGGCATTATCTATTTCCCCATATGATACTAAGGTGCGTCTTAAGTTTATTTGCTCGGGTGTTTACGACTCTATCTCATGAATGACGGTAGACTACCAATAAGCTAAAGGAAAAATGATAAAGTACGATTCTTTATTTTATTCATGTGATGGAAAATCGACTCATTTTTTTGTGACAGCCCCAAGTTTTTGTGTATCTCACATAACCTGGAGGGTCAGTTTATTTTTAAAAAAATTGAAGTTCATGGCATGTGAGGTACAGGATGTTTCACTGACAGTGTTCGATGTTATCAAAGAATGCTTGAAAATGCGAAAAAGCCTCTTAATATGTGTCTTGACTGCTAGCAGTTGGGAGTCACTACCATCAACGCAAACATCCAAAGTGATTAAAACAATGTATTCTGGAAAACAGTTATTAAGATGATGGTATACTTGAACTTTGTCACTGAGAGTTGATAGTGTAGTTGCCACTTCAGATATATATCATGCAGTACATAGCAGGGCACGTCCCTACTATCAAGCAGCATTTCTGGGGCATCTCTTCCATATAAGGCCATTTTTAGAGGTGTAACTCAATATGAAAACATTATCATCCAGATCTTGAGGTCAACTTCGAGTGTACGTGAATATCTTAACTGATTAAACGCGCATAGACTAGGTCAGGAGAATGGGTCGGGTGATCTCGTTTTGACCGCATTTTCTTTATTTTAATCACAAATGGCGCTGAGCTTAGGCCTAAGTAGATATTCTTGAGATGGGGGGATGGATGCAACTCAAACAGCGCTTAAATCCTCACCAAGGTTTAATGTTGGGATGGTTAGGAAATGTACCCTAAGTAGATGGTGTAAAATGACCAAACATCGAAGACGAGGTAGTTAGATTACTTTCCCATTCTACCATGGAATAGAATTACATCCTTTTCTTTATTCATTGTAATATGGAATCACTTTGTTTTCACATTCGTTTTGTCACTGTGGCCAACAGTCTTTACTAGACTTGCTACCAATCCTTCCTATATAGTAAATCTTCTCCACGTTCGTAAGAGGAGGGATTTTTTGTAATAACTAGGATTACAAGAAGCCAAACAATGTTTTCACTCAGTAATATAATATAATCGTACCGATTAACAACTGGCATTAATTTCTAATCACCTAAATTTGCATCAGTGACCCTATGTGATAGCACTGTAGCATGTTCAAACAAAAAATCATCCAATAGGTTTTTCGACGCTCACTTTAAAAGCTTGTCAAGTTCATAAAATGCCAAAAAGCACGGTTAATGTCAAAAAAGCAGTGCAAAATCTTTTATTCATTTTGTTTAAGGAATTTTCACTTTGCAAATAATGAACTCGAGAGGGCTTGGAACGAAGCCTGATTAATGATGTCACATTTTATCCACAGCTCTACCGAGGCGACTTTGCAGGGAGAAAATGTACCAGTATGCACAAGGGGTGCAGCATTACTCTTTTCAACAAAATTTTGTGAATCAAAAAGAGGAAGATGTGGAACACTGATTTCAACATTTCACATGAACTCATTTTAACCAGTCATAATTAAAAAATAAACAAAAATTCTGATTCACTGTAATGCAAGTTAAAAAAAAAATTAGCATGAAAATTGATTAGAGCTTGATTCGCGTTTTCTACAATAAAAGCATTTAATAGAAGCCATTATTTATTTACCGACGTCGGCTTCCGGTTAACCTCATCAACAAATTCAAAATTCTGATTTATGCTGGGGCTGCTAAAGCTGTTTTTTTAAGGAAGAAATTGTTTTTTAACATAGGTTATTTTATAATAAAAAATGCATTGGAGTCATATTCATGCTTTCGTTGTAAGCATTTATGAGAATAGGGCTTCATAATGTGACTTCTTTATAACAACGTGGCGTGTACTTTTGGATGTGCCCTATAATCCATTCCAACAGATGACATGTCACTTCAAACCATTTGTATTACTGCATTAGCGCCCACGCATCGGCATTTCCCTTTCGTCCCATTGTTGCCAGTTCCACTTCACACTCCAAACATTACAGCACAAGACTTTTCGT